TTTTTTTCTTTCCCCCCCTTTTTTTTCCTTCCCCCCCCCTTTTTTTTCTTTCCCCCCCTTTTTTTTCTTTCCCCCTTTTTTTTTCTTTCCCCCTTTTTTTTCTTTCCCCCTTTTTTTTTCTTCCCCCCTTTTTTTTCTTTCCCCCTTTTTTTTCTTTCCCCCTTTTTTTTCTTTCCCCCTTTTTTCTTTTCCCTTAAATTCACTGTGCTTCTCAGTTCAGTTTCCAAACCCAAGCATTACCAACAGGGTGCTGATACCCAAGCTGGGGCCTGGGGAAGGCACGTACAAGCACAGGGATGTGCTTTTTGTGGGTGTTGGTATCACAGGCAGCATCGCCAGCGCTGGCCTGGCACGGTGCAGGTGTGACGGGGTCTGGGATGCTGCCGTACCAGGGCGTGAACCAGGTATGATTTTAACAGAGACAGACTGTCCTGGTGCCCTGCCAGCATCTACGGCACGAGGAAATCCCAGGTGTAGCTGCCTTTAGTTTAGTTTTCTCTGTTATTACAGTTTGTGGCCAGCCCCAAAATATTTCTCATGGGAGATATGGTAGCAGGAAAAAGTTTTCTGTTGGGATATCAGTGATGTACCTGTGTGAGGGAGGGTCCGCAGCTGTGGGAGAGCCTCTCCTTTGCTGTAAAGCCGGAGGTGGGGTGCTGGCACCCTGGAGTCACCCCAGCCCTGGGGGCACAGAGGGGTCATACTGCAGCCCGCGAGAGCACGTGCTCTTAGGAGCCATAGAATCACAGAATCGTTTAGGTAGGAAAAGACCTTTAAAATCATCAAGTCCAACCATTAGGAAGGGGCAGAAATAGCGTTTGATCATGTGCAATGGCAACGCTACGCGTGTGGAGTCCTTCTGATGATGGCTGCTCAACCCCCAGTCTCTCTGCCTCAGTTGCTGCATTTGTTAAACTGGTTCATCTCCTACTTAACCAGAGGGAGTTGCAGGGACCATCGGTCACCGTAGCTGTATTCAGTAACACCCTGAAAAGCCCTCTTTGTTTGGCGATCCACAGAGGTTCAGTGTCCCGTCCCAGATATCACACACGGGCAGCTGAAACCTGCACAGAACTTCACCTCCGGCAGCACGGCCGTGCTCGAGTGCGATGCCGGCTACATCCCCGTGGGTGGCACCACCACCACCATGCGATGCCTGGGCAGCGGCAGATGGTATCCGCGGGTGCCTGCCTGCACCTTAGGTAGGCACAGATCTCTTTTTCTCCTTGCTTTGTCTCCCACGTGGAATTGCCTCCTGTATTTCACCAGCAGGAGGTGCAGCGTTGGCCGGTTGGAGGGTGGGCCCCACGGTGAGCTGCACTGCCTGGCGTTTGGGTGCCAGGATTCCCCTCTGCTCCTTCATCAGCCTGGGATATCACGGCAGGACTGTCCTGCCTTATGGTGGGCATACCCAGTGAGATGCAAAGTGTACGAGAATAAAGGCTCTCGTTAGATTCGCATCATTTGGTGAATTTGTCACAATTATTTTTTCTCCATTTCAGTTCACCCCCATACCCCTCGGGGTTGCTGCTGTCCCTTGCTTCTTTCTGGGGTCTCTACCCTTGCCTAAGAGGCAGGCTGGGTTCCCCAGAAGGCAGGGTCCCCAGTGGGTCTGTGGGGAAGATCCCCCAGCTCTGAGGGTCCGTGTTGTCCCCTGCTCTGGCACCAGGTCACTGTCCCTACCCTCCTGCCATCGACTACGCAGACCGAAACCCTCAGCGTGAGTTTCCAGTTGGGACAAACGTGATCTACTCCTGCAGATCCGGATACACTTTGCTTCCTGAAGTCTCTCCCATAGCGACTTGCCTGAAAAATTTCACATGGTCCGTAAGCCCAAAGCTTTGCCAGAGTAAGTATGCCATTCCCTTCACTTTGCCAACAAAACATCAATTTATTGGTGTGGAAATAACATCGTTTTCAAAATACGCGCTAGTGGTGCTGCGCCGTAAGGACTTTATTGAGCAGTGCTTTGGCTCTCCCTATTGATAATTTTGCTGCTCAAAGGGTAGCGTGGCCAAAAGGAAATAGCTGCAACTCGCGCTGATTATTTAGCTGTGCTGGTGATGTGGCTGGTAACGCGTCATCCCTTCCGCACAACTGATAACTAATCACAGCACCTTCCAAGGGAAAAGGGTTGTTATCGAATAACTTCCATCCCTGAGCATGCCAGGTCTGGTCAGAGACGTCTGGCAGCGGTAACAGGCTGTCGGAGAGGTTCTCTGGGTCAGCAAGCCACCACCGTGGGAAAACACCCCCGTGCAAACACCTCCTGCTCTCCCCTCCTGACCCAAACCATGGAAGCTCTTTCTGATGCTGGTGTTCCTCAGGGGTGCAGTGTCCCAGCCCAGCTATCCCCCATGGGAGAGAGATCAGCCCCAGGAAAGCCGAATACACCTTTGGGCAGCAGGTGGAATTTCAGTGTGACCTTGGCTACGTGCTGAGGGGCAACCAGAGGATCCAGTGCTCATCTGATGGGACGTGGAGGCCCCCCGTGCCATACTGCGACAAGGGTGAGCGTGTGCGGGGCGAGCGCGGCGGGCGCTGGGACCTGCATCTCTGCAGCGGGTAGGAAGAGCAGTGAGAAAATCACGTAACCTGAACATCACTTCTTGGAGAGGGTGGTGTTAGGAGAAGGGGTCCAGGCCACAGGATTAGATGGCTTTGATGTTCTCATTTTCTATCAAAACTGTAATTCATGAAATCTGTTGAGTAACGGGACTTGCAGCCATTTCCCAGAGGACTGATCAGGGGGTTTGTGATACTTGCAATTCCCTGGCCCCAGTTATGAGCAGGATCATTCCTCGTGGAAAAGAGAATGGAATAAAGGAAGGTCAGATGAAGGGGAGGGGATAGGGTGCTGGGGCCGTGCCGGGGTGCTCAGCTGGGTCAGTCTGGGAGTGCTGGCAGAGCCAGGGCCAAGCCTGGCAAGAAGCAAGGAGGACTTTGAGGAGAGCAACCTTAAGTATAAATATTGAGAACTGGCTGCTTCTGTTACTTCCCTGCACTTCTCTGTCTCCCTGACCAAATGAAGAAAACCTTAATTTTTCCTTTCTGTATTCTGCTCTCCCAGTTTGTGGTCCTCCTCCAAAAATCGCCAATGGGCAGTACTCTGGCTTGAAAACAGAGCAGTTCCCCTACGGCTTAGAAGTAAAGTACAGCTGCGTGGAGGGTCTGTCCCTCATTGGGGATGAATCCATCTACTGCACCTCCAACGATGGGGTGAACCTGGCCTGGAGCGGACCGGCCCCGCAGTGCAGGGGTGAGTCGTTCCTCCTGTACGGGATCAGACTGAAGCCAGACCTGGGTGCTGTATTGGTGCTCAGCACAACGGGATCAGTGGAGCTGCCAGGAGATCCCGCTTCCTTTGCAGGCTGCTTCACAGGCTACACAGCTCCGGACTGGGGATGACCCATGTGGAAATAGGAGGCTCTGGTTCTACCTTGA